TTGCTGATGTGATCTCCAAGCATATACAAACAATTTTGACGGTTTGGATCGTTGAAATTAGTTTTGGAGAATTCGTAAAACGATAGATTGACTAACACTTAGAGTTTATTTATACTTTCATTAAGTATAACATAAGATTTTGTGGTATCCACTTGTGTAAATATTTTAAATTGAAGATCGAATTCATTCATTGTATTAATATAGGGTCAAGGAGTGTAGTTATAAAAAATCATCTAAATCGGAGTTAAAATAACCGTTAAATCGTGATTTTTCGTTTATAACCGTCGAAAAGCTTTCTCCCGTTACTTGATCTCTGAATGTTTTTTTTTTGTGATTTTTTGCTGATGTGATCTCCAAGCATATACAAACAATTTTGACGGTTTGGATCGTTGAAATTAGTTTTAGAGAATTCGTAAAACGATAGATTGACTAACACTTAGAGTTTATTTATACTTTCATTAAGTATAACATAAGATTTTGTGGTATCCACTTGTGTAAATATTTTAAATTGAAGATCGAATTCATTCATTGTATTCATATAGGGTCAAGGAGTGTAGTTATAAAAAATCATCTAAATCGGAGTTAAAATAACCGTTAAATCGTGATTTTTCGTTTATAACCGTCGAAAAGCTTTCTCCCGTTACTTGATCTCTGAATGTTTTTTTTTGTGATTTTTTGCTGATGTGATCTCCAAGCATATACAAACAATTTTGACGGTTTGGATCGTTGAAATTAGTTTTGGAGAATTCGTAAAACGATAGATTGACTAACACTTAGAGTTTATTTATACTTTCATTAAGTATAACATAAGATTTTGTGGTATTCACTTGTGTAAATATTTTAAATTGAAGATCGAATTCATTCATTGTATTCATATAGGGTCAAGGAGTGTAGTTATAAAAAATCATCTAAATCGGAGTTAAAATAACCGTTAAATCGTGATTTTTCGTTTATAACCGTCGAAAAGCTTTCTCCCGTTACTTGATCTCTGAATGTTTTTTTTTTGTGATTTTTTGCTGATGTGATCTCCAAGCATATACAAACAATTTTGACGGTTTTGATCGTTGAAATTAGTTTTGGAGAATTCGTAAAACGATAGATTGACTAACACTTAGAGTTTATTTATACTTTCATTAAGTATAACATAAGATTTTGTGGTATCCACTTGTGTAAATATTTTAAATTGAAGATCGAATTCATTCATTGTATTCATATAGGGTCAAGGAGTGTAGTTATAAAAAATCATCTAAATCGGAGTTAAAATAACCGTTAAATCGTGATTTTTCGTTTATAACCGTCGAAAAACTTTGTCCCGTTACTTGATCTCTGAATGTTTTTTTTTGTGATTTTTTGCTGATGTGATCTCCAAGCATATACAAACAATTTTGACGGTTTGGATCATTGAAATTAGTTTTGGAGAATTCGTAAAACGATAGATTGACTAACACTTAGAGTTTATTTATACTTTCATTAAGTATAACATAAGATTTTGTGGTATCCACTTGTGTAAATATTTTAAATTGAAGATCGAATTCATTCATTGTATTCATATAGGGTCAAGGAGTGTAGTTATAAAAAATCATCTAAATCGGAGTTAAAATAACCGTTAAATCGTGATTTTTCGTTTATAACCGTCGAAAAGCTTTCTCCCGTTACTTGATCTCTGAATGTTTTTTTTTTGTGATTTTTTGCTGATGTGATCTCCAAGCATATACAAACAATTTTGACGGTTTTGATCGTTGAAATTAGTTTTGGAGAATTCGTAAAACGATAGATTGACTAACACTTAGAGTTTATTTATACTTTCATTAAGTATAACATAAGATTTTGTGGTATCCACTTGTGTAAATATTTTAAATTGAAGATCGAATTCATTCATTGTATTCATATAGGGTCAAGGAGTGTAGTTATAAAAAATCATCTAAATCGGAGTTAAAATAACCGTTAAATCGTGATTTTTCGTTTATAACCGTCGAAAAGCTTTCTCCCGTTACTTGATCTCTGAATGTTTTTTTTTGTGATTTTTTGCTGATGTGATCTCCAAGCATATACAAACAATTTTGACGGTTTGGATCGTTGAAATTAGTTTTGGAGAATTCGTAAAACGATAGATTGACTAACACTTAGAGTTTATTTATACTTTCATTAAGTATAACATAAGATTTTGTGGTATTCACTTGTGTAAATATTTTAAATTGAAGATCGAATTCATTCATTGTATTCATATAGGGTCAAGGAGTGTAGTTATAAAAAATCATCTAAATCGGAGTTAAAATAACCGTTAAATCGTGATTTTTCGTTTATAACCGTCGAAAAGCTTTCTCCCGTTACTTGATCTCTGAATGTTTTTTTTTTGTGATTTTTTGCTGATGTGATCTCCAAGCATATACAAACAATTTTGACGGTTTTGATCGTTGAAATTAGTTTTGGAGAATTCGTAAAACGATAGATTGACTAACACTTAGAGTTTATTTATACTTTCATTAAGTATAACATAAGATTTTGTGGTATCCACTTGTGTAAATATTTTAAATTGAAGATCGAATTCATTCATTGTATTCATATAGGGTCAAGGAGTGTAGTTATAAAAAATCATCTAAATCGGAGTTAAAATAACCGTTAAATCGTGATTTTTCGTTTATAACCGTCGAAAAGCTTTCTCCCGTTACTTGATCTCTGAATGTTTTTTTTTTGTGATTTTTTGCTGATGTGATCTCCAAGCATATACAAACAATTTTGACGGTTTTGATCGTTGAAATTAGTTTTGGAGAATTCGTAAAACGATAGATTGACTAACACTTAGAGTTTATTTATACTTTCATTAAGTATAACATAAGATTTTGTGGTATCCACTTGTGTAAATATTTTAAATTGAAGATCGAATTCATTCATTGTATTCATATAGGGTCAAGGAGTGTAGTTATAAAAAATCATCTAAATCGGAGTTAAAATAACCGTTAAATCGTGATTTTTCGTTTATAACCGTCGAAAAGCTTTCTCCCGTTACTTGATCTCTGAATGTTTTTTTTTGTGATTTTTTGCTGATGTGATCTCCAAGCATATACAAACAATTTTGACGGTTTGGATCGTTGAAATTAGTTTTGGAGAATTCGTAAAACGATAGATTGACTAACACTTAGAGTTTATTTATACTTTCATTAAGTATAACATAAGATTTTGTGGTATTCACTTGTGTAAATATTTTAAATTGAAGATCGAATTCATTCATTGTATTCATATAGGGTCAAGGAGTGTAGTTATAAAAAATCATCTAAATCGGAGTTAAAATAACCGTTAAATCGTGATTTTTCGTTTATAACCGTCGAAAAGCTTTCTCCCGTTACTTGATCTCTGAATGTTTTTTTTTTGTGATTTTTTGCTGATGTGATCTCCAAGCATATACAAACAATTTTGACGGTTTTGATCGTTGAAATTAGTTTTGGAGAATTCGTAAAACGATAGATTGACTAACACTTAGAGTTTATTTATACTTTCATTAAGTATAACATAAGATTTTGTGGTATCCACTTGTGTAAATATTTTAAATTGAAGATCGAATTCATTCATTGTATTCATATAGGGTCAAGGAGTGTAGTTATAAAAAATCATCTAAATCGAAGTTAAAATAACCGTTAAATCGTGATTTTTCGTTTATAACCGTCGAAAAACTTTGTCCCGTTACTTGATCTCTGAATGTTTTTTTTTTGTGATTTTTTGCTGATGTGATCTCCAAGCATATACAAACAATTTTGACGGTTTGGATCGTTGAAATTAGTTTTGGAGAATTCGTAAAACGATAGATTGACTAACACTTACAGTTTATTTATACTTTCATTAAGTATAACATAAGATTTTGTGGTATCCACTTGTGTAAATATTTTAAATTGAAGATCGAATTCATTCATTGTATTCATATAGGGTCAAGGAGTGTAGTTATAAAAAATCATCTAAATCGGAGTTAAAATAACCGTTAAATCGTGATTTTTCGTTTATAACCGTCGAAAAGCTTTCTCCCGTTACTTGATCTCTGAATGTTTTTTTTTGTGATTTTTTGCTGATGTGATCTCCAAGCATATACAAACAATTTTGACGGTTTTGATCGTTGAAATTAGTTTTGGAGAATTCGTAAAACGATAGATTGACTAACACTTAGAGTTTATTTATACTTTCATTAAGTATAACATAAGATTTTGTGGTATCCACTTGTTATTAGGGTGTAAAACATTCATTGCATTCGTATAGGGGTGTAAAACAGTTAAATTAATATATAATTATTTTAGTTTTTAGGGGTGTAAAACAGTTAAATTAATATATAATTATTATTATTAGGGGTATAAAACTACAAATAATAAAAAATAATTATATATAATTATTATTATTAGGGTGTAAAACATTCATTGCATTCGTATAGGGGTGTAAAATAGTTAAATTAATATATAATTATTATTGTTTTTAGGGGTGTAAAACAGTTAAATTAATATATAATTATTATTGTTTTTAGGGGTGTAAACAATTAAATTAATATATAATTATTAATATTTAGGCTATAAAACTGCAAATAATAAAAAATAATTATATATAATTATTATTATTAGGGGTAATGCATATGATTGACAACAAGTATCTTGCGTCGAAATAGTCTCATATTGCGTCGAAATAGGCTAGGGTTGCGTCGGTTAAAACCGACGCCAAGTCTGACACACATGTCCTAAGGTTAACATTGCGTCGAAATAGGCTAGGGTTGCGTCGGTTAAAACCGACGCCAAGTCTGACACACATGTCCTAAGGTTAACATTGCGTCGAAATAGGCTGGGGTTGCGTCGGTTAAAACCGACGCCAATTCTGACATACCTGAAAAATGCCGTCGGTTAAAAGCGACAGAAAACAAGGAAAAAAAAAAAAAAACAGAAATATAATTTTATGATACGATATCATAGCATACAAAATAAAACAAAGTCTAATTAATACAAAAAATAATTAACAAAAAATAATTAATATATTTATTCCCTGTCATCATCTGTTAGCTCTTCGTCGGTATTGGCATGATTAACGAACCCGGTAGGCAACGCTAATGATTCAAGAAAGGGAGTCTCTTCCACGCCAACCCTTATATGAAAATTTTCATTATCAAGAATTCGATCATCCAAGTTCGGCGTGTCATAATCATCAATAGCATCACTATCCTCTAATACGTCAAATAAATCTCTTGGCTGAGTTCGAACAACTACGTGCCAATCTTTTTCAATCGTATCCTCCACGTAAAATGCCTGTAATGCTTGTGATGCTAGTATGAAAGGATCCTCTTTAAATCCCAATTGATTGAAATTCACCATAGTAAATCCATATTGATCAGTCTTCATTCCTCGTGGACTTTCACTATTAACCCATTCGCACTTAAATAACATCACAGCTCGACCCCTATCTCCTGCTTCAGTAGGACCACAATATTTGACCTCGAACATATCTACAACTCTGCCATAACAATTTACTTGCCCAATTGCTCCAGGAACATTTGCAGGTACAAAGACACCACAGTTTTGATTCTTATGCTTATCATCCACAGATTTTATACGAAATCTAAATCCATGAACAATGTGACTTTTGTATCTGCTCACAACCCTACTAGGATAATTAGCTAGCCAATGCAAGTCTTGAGATATCAATGTGTCATTAGCATCATATCTTGAATTCATCTGTAATAAGTATGAAGATAAATATTGACAGAATAACTATAAACATGTTATAATTAAAATGCAAAACAATAAATAAATAATATGATTATTATATCAACTCACATGTTGCTTGAACCATTCTGGAAATTCTTTCTTGCTTAGCTCTTAAATTTGTCGCATAGTTAACCTTTCTCGACGATATTTAGTTTTCAAGAATTCTTCATGTTGCCTACACAATTATGTCCAATTTAGATAATTATTTTTTCAAAGTTAAGAAAACCAATAAAACATTAAGACGTATGATTAAACATTCTTACCTTCTAAATGGGCTAACTTCATCACAATTATTTAGAATGTATCTATGGCACTGATCAAGAACATTTAGATTGAGCTCCACATTTTCTCCTGAACCCATATAACATCCTTTCGAGTCAAAAATTGATAACCCACCAGATACTCCACGTCCAATCCCATCTTCATTTCGGCCTCTACGGGTACGACGAGACTCAACGTCTCTAAGATACATGGAACAAAATGACAAGCACTCATCCACCAAATATGCTTCAGCAATAGAACCTTCAGGACGACCCTTATTACGAACATAGCGCTTCAGTGTTTGCAAATACCTACAATTATAAAACGAAATACAAATTATTATAATTATTAATTAAAGTTATGACTACAATTGTAAAAAAATTATAAAAATTTATTCATTACCGTTCAATTGGATACATCCATCTATATTGAACAGGCCCTGCAAGCGCTGCTTCATCTGCCAAGTGAACTGGGAGGTGCACCATTATATCAAAAAATGCAGGAGGGAATATTTTCTCAAGTTGACATAATGTCAAGGCAATTCTTGAATTCAGTTGCTTAAATCCTTCCTCAGACTCCTTCTTACTACATAACTGTCTGAAAATTGCACTCAACTCTAATAAAACCATAGTAACAGCTTTAGGCAAAACCGGGCGTATTGCAAGCGGGAGTAACTGCTGCATTAAAACATGGCAATCATGACTTTTCAACCCATGTATTTTTCGTTCATTCACGTGCACACATCGTGACAGATTTGATGAATATCCATCTGGGACCCGAATAGTAGACAATACTTTAAACGCAGTTTTTTCTTCTCTTTTCAACATGAACAATGCTGGAGGTCGAAATGTTCTATTTCCTTCTCTACGTGGGTGTTGACTATGTCTTATGTTCAAGAATTCAAGATCTGCACGTGCCGCCAATCCATCTTTAGACTTTTCTATATCTAGCAATGTTCCCACCACACTGTCACATATATTCTTCTCGATATGCATAACATCAAGATTGTGTCTAATCAAGAGATGCCTCCAATAAGGTAGTTCATAAAAAATCGATTTCTTCTTCCACTGACTGTTACTACTTGTACTGCTCGAAGCTCTTCTTCTGCGTTGCCCAACTGAAGCATCCTTGTTTGGTTTTCCAAAAGTAAATCTCAATGTAGAAAGTTCTTCGAGACATTGTAAACCAGTCCACTGCCTTGGTGCAGTACGATGCTCTCGACGACCATTAAAAGTGATGGTTTGCCTTCGAAACCTATGATTATCTTCAAGAAATCGTCGATGCCCCATATAACAAATCTTGCGACTCGCTGGCAAGTAAATAGATTCTTTATCATGCATGCAATGTGGACAAGCTTTATAACCATGTGTACTCCATCCTGACAACATTCCATAAGTCGGAAAATCACTTATGGTCCATAACACGGCAGCCTTCATCGTAAAACTTTGGTTGGAAAACGCATCATAAGTGGGAATGCCCACCTCCCACAACTCATTCAGCTCGTCAATCAATGGACGCATGTATACATCAATCTCTTTACCAGGACTGCGCGGTCCTGGTATTAACAAAGACAATAACAAATTTGGTTGCTTCATGCACATCCAAGGTGGCAAATTATAAACAGAAAGCACCACAGGCCATGTGCTATGATCATTCCTCATTTTCCCAAAAGGATTAAATCCATCACTGGCTAACCCTAATCAGACATTTCGAATTTCTGACGCAAAATCCGGATATAAATTATCCAAATGCTTCCATGCGGGAGAATCTGAAGGATGTCTCATAAACTCATCCTTAGGACATTCAGTTGCATGCCATCTCATATGTTCAGCCATATGCTTCGACATAAAAAAGCGTTGCAATCGTGGTTTTAAAGGAAAATACCACATAACCTTAGCTGCGACCTTTTTCCTCGAGCTATCCTCTGCATTGGTAATTTTATATCTTGATTTACCACAAACTGAGCACACGGTCAAATCTGAAGTATCTTTCCAATAGATCATGCAATCATTGGGACATGCATCAATTTTCACATACGACAGCCCCAAGTCATTTATAAGTTTTTTTGCTTTATAATAGGATTCAGGCAAACAATCCCCTTCAGGCAACATTCTTTTAATTAACTCCAGTAAAGTGGTGAAGATCTCGTCAGGCATTCCCGCTAAACACTTGATCTGATACAATCTTACAACTGCTTCCAATTTCTTAAACTCCTTACAACCTGGCCACAAATCTTGATCTGCCTCTTCAAGCAACTTAAAAAAAGTCTGCACCTCTTCTGGACGCCCTTCCCCAATAGGGGGTTCAGTAGATGGCCCAACACCTTCTTCTGTTAATGGTTGGACAAATACATCATTAAGAAAATCATGCATGCCAATCACCTCATCTCCTGTTTCTTCTTCTCCAATTCCCACATTTTGCTCTCCAATGTTTTGCTCGCCATGATGTCGCCAACAAGCGTTTTTATAATCTTTATCCATATCATACAATATGAGATGTTCAACAATGGTGTTCCTAACAAAAGAATATCGATTACAACATCTTTTGCAAGGACATCTAAACTTATCAGGACCAACACCATTTGCAACTGCTTGATCCAAAAACAAATTAATTCCAGTTGTATACGCTTCAAAATTTCGGGGTATTGTCAACCAACTCTTGTCCATATTTTACCACTTTACGAAGGTAAAATATTACGTTGACACTAAGATGCCTACAATCTTTCAATCCCTATCATGTAGGCATAACTATCAAAATTTTCAATTTCTATCTTTCACCCCTCGAACTCTATCACGATTGCAATCTTTTAATTTTCAACACCTATTATAGTAAAAACAAATTAAAATAACAACAAAAAGTTGTCAAAATTATGCTCATCTAATCCATTCTAATAAATAACAACCAAAAGTTATCAAACTTATCAAAATAACAACAAATTCAAATAACAATTAGAGTGCAAAAAAAATTAATTAATATATTCTTATATTCCTAAATATTATAAGTTTAGGTTATATTCTTATATGAAAGGTTATATTCTTATATGAAAGGATATTCTTATATTATAAGTTTAGGTTATATTCTTATGAAAGGTTATATTCTTATATTCTTATATTCCTAAATATTATAAGTTTAGCTTATATTCTTATTAGAGTGCAAAAAAAAAAAAAAATTAACATAATATATTATAATATTACTCAATATTATAAGTTTATGTTATATTTAATATTGTTAATTTAACATAAATGCTTATAAATATTATTCATTCCATCTTCTCATAACAATTCAAATTATGTTCATCTAATCCATTCTAGTAAATAACAACAAAAAATTATCAAAATAACAACAAATTAAAATAACAATTAGAGTGCAAAAAATAAAAAAAAATTAACATAATATATTCTTATATTACTCAATATTATAAGTTTATGTTATATTTAATATTGTTAATTTAACATAAATGCTTATAAATATTATTCATTCCATCTTCTCATAACAATTCAAATTATGTTCATCTAATCCATTCTAGTAAATAACAACAAAAAATTATCAAAATAACAACAAATTAAAATAACAATTAGAGTGCAAAAAAAAAAAAAAATTAACATATTGTATTCTTATATTACTCAATATTATAAGTTTATGTTATATTTAATATTGTTAATTTAACATAAATGCTTATAAATATTATTCATTCCATTTTCTCATAACAATTCAAATTATGTTCATCTAATCCATTCTAGTAAATAACAACAAAATATTATCAAAATAACAACAAATTAAAATAACACTTAGAGTGCAAAAAAAAAAAATTAACATAATATATTCTTATATTACTCAATATTATAAGTTTATGTTATATTTAATATTGTTAATTTAACATAAATGCTTATAAATATTATTCATTCCATTTTCTCATAACAATTCAAATTATGTTCATCTAATTCATTCTAGTAAATAACAACAAAAAATTATCAAAATAACAACAAATTAAAATAACAATTAGAGTGAAAAAAAATTAATTAATTCGACTAAATTTTTATTAATTTAACAAAAATAGTAGAATTTTATCTAAGTGCTTAAATTATAATTTTTAAATAAATAAACTTGTGTATTATACAATTTAAAAATTAAAGAAGTTAGGGATACAAACCTGATTTGTTGAAGAATTTCGACGTCAACAATTCTTTATGTACTCAACCAACTCCAATAACTTTCCTACAAAAATAAATTGTAACTAAAAATTAAACATAAGAGGAGAAAATAAAAATATTATAAGCAAGAAAAACTTACTGTTGTGAAGAGGAACAAATGAATTTTGAAAACCAAAGGAGAAAGCTGAAAGAGAGAACAGAGGAACAAATGAAGTTTGCAAACCAAAGGAGAAAGCTGAAAGAGGAACACGGGAGACTTTGTAAAGGTTGGAAGAACGAATAAGAAAAGTGCAAGAGAAGAAAAAGAAAACACGGGGGAGAGGGTATAAAGAGCAACAATGTGTCGCTTACAACCGACACTGGTTTTCAAAATATATGTCGCTCAAAACCGACGCAGGATTTAAAATATTAAAAACAAGAATTAGTGTCGCCTAGAAGCGACACCCATAGTTTATGTCGCTTAAAAGCGACACTATTTTATTTAAAGCGACGCCATTGCTTAAAAATATTAAAATATATGTCGGTTATAAGCGACACTAAATTTTTACGTCGGTTTAAAAGCGACATAGAAATTTTATGACGCTTATAAGCGACACTAAATACGACGTCATCTTCAGTGAGTGTCGCAAATCTCTTTTTCGCCACTATATAATATTAAACCGACGCAAGAAGTGACACTATTAGGTCATTTTGTAGTAGTGTTTCTATTGGATATATATGCTAATCTTCTATTTATGCTAATTATAGTTGGGTGTCTGGGACAATAAATATCTGGTGGTTGTGGTTGAAAAGGTCTACAAGGACAATAATATCTGTTGTTCATACAAAATAAACAAATATGATATCAGTTGTATCACTAACTTCCATCCTCAAGGTACTTTACTATTCTAATTATACTATTAAAATGCTAAACTTGGTTTTGATACCAGATTCGCATAGCAGGCACAGTTAAATAGTCGGATGACCATTATAACAACTAGACATAAAACCTTGCACATGGAACTCGACATGTTTCAGCATGACGACCACTTATAGTACAAGTATAAGGCCTTAACGGCTGAACTCAGAGGTATGAAGAACTCAGAGGTATGAAGAACTCAGAGGTACCCTAGTTAATGTCCAGTTATTTGTATGGCAATCATTCAACTATAACAGAGTGCTCGAACAAAGTATGATTGTCAGTTTAGCAGGTTAATAATATAACTACAATAGTATTTCCTTATTTTGGACTAGAAGTCTAATTAAACAAACACACTAAAGAAAGAAAAGAAAACTTACTTAAAACTTGAAGATTGCTTGAATATGTACACTTGAACTTTTATTGATATATAGAATGTTTACAAAGATAGTTGTTTACAAGAAAGTGTTTATAATGATTCTATGAAGACTACAGATGCTTGAGAGTATGAAGATGGTGTAAGTATATGGCGAGAGTAGGGTGTTCAAATGTTGAGATGATGTATTATTTTGATGTTGAGCTCTTTTTATGTTGAGGTGTATTTACAATGAATAGAACTCCACTTATATATACTGAATGAGGCTATAATGGTATAAAATTTTACAAATGGATGGTGTGGACATCTCCTTGGTATTTGTCACTTTGCTTCTACTGTTAATGAAAATATTAAAACTGTTTCTGAAAACGTGTCTGACTTTTGCTTTGTTTGATAAATGCATGTAAATTTGCTTGTCTCCTTTTGCTTTGCAAGTGAACTTGCTTGTCTCCTTTTGTTTTGCATGTGAACCTGCTGCATAGGTTTTTCTCTTGGAACTCTTATATTTGCTTTGATGAAGAGCATGTGATTTCTGATGGATGTTGGAGATTGTGATACTTTTGGTTTTTTCTGTCAGAAGGTTTTCAAGGGCAACATTGCCATTTTTGAAATTATTTGTCCTTAAGATTAAATGAAAGTTTTCTAGAGTGTTTCCATTAGTTTTCCCATTTTTAAATCATCCTTTCAATATCAACTAGATAAAAAACCAATCAAATTAGAAAAATGTTTAACGACTCGATTAATGTTGTAAAAAATTTCAATGTTAGATGACTAAATCATTTTGGATTTAGTTAATTGTTTGAAGAAATGATCTTTGTCAAGGAGAATTGCTATCCACTATTGGTGGTGGGTTGCTAAATGATTTTTAAAGAGTGACCTAAAACATAAACTGTCTAGATCATCCGACATTAAATGATAAAAAAAAAGAACGGAAAAAGTAGAAGGGGAACTTCAAAAAGTTGCCAGCATGTCATTAGATAATACCAAACATTGATTAACTTGAACTTGACAAGATTGTACCCTTTTTATATGATAAAGATGAAGCATTGGATAGTTTAAGAATAATTAAGTTTCTCATTAGGTTTTTTTCCAATTAGATTATGACAAATGCTTGTTGGATTAGTGGATATACGCACAGCATAAAAGGGTTATGGAAATTTTTTTTTTTGGTTGGACATTTTCTTTCTTGGCTGTAAACATTCCTAATTCCCCACTAAATCTTAACAATACAGAACAAATTGGACAAGGATTGTCTACCATCCCACTTCTGGTGTCTTTCTGTTTGTGTGGTTACGGTTAAGTCACGTTAACATTTTATATTACTATTCATTTTTGTCTTATTATCTCTATAAAAAAACAATATAAAATCTTGATATGACTTAACCGTAACTACACAAAACAGGAGGGCATCTGAAGTTAGAGGATAGACAATTTTTGTCCGAACAAATTATATAAATTTAAATCAATTAAAAAAGGTAGAACATAATCGCCACGTGTACGAAATCTGTTGCTCCAGCAGGTACGAGTTACGACACACCTGATTCCCTCCATTAAAATTTACAGCTCACAATTTCAATGTTTTTTGTTTTTACGGACTATTAAAAACCACCCCCGAAACGTGTAAAGCGCCAAAAAAGCGCATCGGATCCGTTTCGAGCGAGCAAAAAACCGAAAATCATTTGCTCTGCTCTGCTCTGCTGGGCCGGCGCCGATCGGAGCTCCGCGGTGGAGGTACTGACGTGGGAAAGGAGAAGGCGGTGGCGGCGATGAGAAGCCGATCTTGGAGGGCCTCGAAGTAGAGACCCCAAGTCGGAGAACGGCATGGTCGGCTGCTGCTGAGAGCTTGGCCGTTGTTCTCCGATTTGCGATACCGGGACGTTCTAGAAGCTTCTCTTCCGCCTGCCGCCTGCCTTCGCCTTGTGAAATAGCTGCTGTGAGCTTTCGAGCTGGTTCAACAGGTTGGCTGGCTCTTTGTTTTTCCCCAATTTTTTTATTATTTAATTTACAGATCGCCGAAAGTTTGACACTTTCGGTGGCAAAATATAAAAATTAGATTATTTTTTCAATTATTTGTTTGACAAAATTGATGGGTTTTGCTTTCTTCTAAAAATTACAGATTTTTATGTGTAGACATTTTTTATGGGGTTTGAAGAAGTTAGGAAATAGAGGAGAGAAATATGTTTGGAATCGAAAAGATTTAAAAATTTGGGTGTGAAGAGGAATTATGTTGTTTATCATAAGATTTCTCTTGAATGTAGCGACTTTTAGTGCCAAACTGTGGCCGATTTGCTCACATTTTGAATTTGAATCGAATTAAGGATAATGGGTTTATATTCATGTACTCGGTGGTTACTTTCCAGTATCGAATTTGCGTGATTGTTAAGATTTTGGTCTCAAAATCCTTTTAAAGGTCTTTGACTCGTTGGTTTGGTGTTATGATTGATATGCTATGTGTAGATGTCGTTCAAAGGCATTGTTCGTGAGCTGCGGGAGATGAAAGATGGGATTGGGAGCATGTCAAGGCGAGTTGGTGAACGGAAGCATTGGCGTAGTCGGACTTTGTCGCATATTGCTCCTGATATGGCTCCAACCCCGCCAACTAATGTGATTCAGCAGGGTCAGTGGGCTAACTTGCCTCCGGAATTGCTTCGGGACATAATTCAGAGGGTAGAAGAAAGTGAAACATCGTGGCCTGCTCGAGCTGTCGTTGTTTTTTGTGGTTCAGTTTGTAAGTCATGGAGGGGCATTACGAGGGATATAGTCAAAACTCCCGAGCAATGTGGAAGGCTCACATTTCCAATCTCATTGAAGCAGGTGTTGCTTTATCCTAATTCCTCTTAAGTTTGTGTTTACTTGTACTGAGTGGCTCCTCTGAAATAGTGTTATTTGTGGTGTGCTTTGTGTAGCCGGGACCTCGCCAATCTCCAATGCAGTGCTTCATTCGAAGGGATAGAGAAACTTCCACATATTATATTTACTATGGTCTGGTGCCATGTAAGTCATGTTCTTATTATGGAAAATGTAACTCTGTTTTTTTTATTGCACTGCACATTGGGTTAGTTATATTGTAAGTTTCTGTCAATCTTAGGAGATGAATATAGCATTTTTAGAGATATCTTATTTTGCTTCTTTAACATTCTCATTATTTGATGAAAAGAAAATGTATCAGATGCTACCTGGTGTTCACTTATATTATTGAATTGACAGCTGAGGGTGAGAAAGATAAATTATTGTTAGCAGCCAAAAGGATCAGAAGGGCAACAAGCACAGTGTTCGTTATATCTTTGGTTTCAGATGATTTTTCTCGAGCCAGCAGTACATATGTTGGAAAATTGAGGTAAGTGTGCTCTACTATGCTTGCAAATATTTCAATCAAGTTATTCTTGTTTATGTTCCCGCAACTCATTCAACAATTGTTTTGCCAGGTCCAACTTTTTGGGTACCAAGTTCACCGTATATGACAGCCAGCTTCCATGTGATGCAGTACCCCCACCAAATAACCGATCATCTCAAAGGTTCCATTCTAAGCAGGTGTCTCCAAGAGTACCAGCGTGTAACTACAGCGTTGGCACCATCTCTTACGAGCTCAATATTCTTCGCACAAGAGGTCCAAGGAGAATGCATTGTGCTATGCACTCCATTCCTGTCTCTTCCATTCAGGACGGGGGCACTGCCCCAACACCAACATCGTTCCCACAAGCCTATGACAAGCAATTTGCTCTCTCACCAAGTTCAAAAGAAAAGGATCTGATCAGAGAGTTCAGCTCTACAGCCCTCTCGGAGCCAAATGTCTCAGCCCCAGGTGCAGAGCCACTGGTTTTGAAAAACAAGTCTCCTCGGTGGCATGAGCAGCTACAATGCTGGTGCCTTAACTTTAGAGGGCGTGTTACAGTGGCTTCCGTTAAAAATTTCCAGCTTGTGGCAGCTGTTGATCCGTCC